AAGCCTTTCTTTAAAGTGAATTTCGTTTTGTATAAATTGTATCTTAATTTTAATGCATTTTTCATCAACCAATTACCTGGAATAATAAGAAGCAAATATAGCAAACAATATAATCATGACATGGAAGCGCCGGCGAGCCGCGGTTACCATAGCACGTGAACTGAAGCCATCTCATCATAAATTAAATCAATTTTTGGCACGCTTGTCACCGAATTTACAAATGCACATCTTGCTTGTTGCACGCGCACACATATGTCGAAATAACATTATTAATAATAATGAATCTTTAAGAATATTTGATTGAATGCTGAATGTTGTGCTTGTTCAATTTAATAAAATTAAAACTTTCATTGTGATAATTGAAATAATTTAATATTAAATATTAAGTGGGCAATTTTTGCACATTTATTAATAGTATTTATATAATATATATATATATATATATATATGTATAACATTGCGCAGCTCCCCCCTGTCAATGGTCTAGCACCCAATCAGCACCTGCATGATCTGGCGTCGCCCCTGGTTATAACGGCCCAAAATGTTCGGGTTTAAATCGGGCTCGGGCTGATAATTACAGTTAATGTCTCGGGCCAGGCCGGACTCGGACACAACGTGCACGGGCTCGGGTCGGGTCGGGCTTGATTTTTTGGGCCCGATCTAAGCTCTAGTAAGGGTTGAGAAAGGGCGGGGCCCGTCTCAAACCCCGCTACTATATCTATCTGCGATCCCCAAGATGAAAGTCGCCGCTGTGCCTCGACAGCAGCGGGACCCGCACCTCGGGGAACGCGAACCGAACCGTCCTCCTCAAAGAACGCCCGGCGAGAGCGGAGAGTTTTCATGGACAAACTCATGCAATGCTCACAATCAGCTCCCTCGGGAACTGATTGGGCATGCTCCACTCCCAAACAAGCAACACAAAGCTGATGCGTGTCCCCACCCGTGATGTAACGAGGGCAGGGAACAACACAACATCTAAAATCTTGCTTGCTCGCCATAATGATAGATAGTAATATATATTGGGCTTGACAGACAACAATAAATAGACAAGGACATATTTCACGGAGAGCGCTTGCTGAAGGTACAGAAGCTAGCGCGTTCTGATTTCAGGGGTGCTTTATAGTTTCCTGGTCAATGACGTCACCCATGATGTTCCATTAGACTGATTTTACATGTGCTTCATGACGTAATCACGCAGAGCGTTCCCACCGCGAAAAGGAACGGAATTACTTTTAATCAAATTAATTAATGATGGAGTTATAATACCACCGCAATGAGAAATCACATGAAATCCAAACAGCAGTCGAATAAGGAAAGACAGCTGTCCATCACTGCATTAACGACTGCAGGTAAGCGCAGCTGAATCCGAGTGAGCGAGATAATTACTTAACTGAAACTGTAGCAAAATGATTTTGAGACATGCTTCCTTTAAGTTTCGTTAAAGAAGAAGTCCTTAACAGAAAACACAAAGTGCTATTAGAAACTTTGTTATCTGTCATGGTGTCCCTGCAACGTCTGTCAGCGTGTTTTCTACTCGAGCATGTGAATATTATTGTTTTTCTCAACATGAAAGTGAAACAATATAAATAAGATAAATATTATGTTGACTCGAGTGTATACCTACGTTCTGTACGATAAGTGGAACGGTCTGTTTTATTAGCGTTTTTTCCCTTTCGTACTGATTGATCTTAAATGCTTTTGTTCTTTACATTTTTTGTTTACACATATTATTTAATGTTTTCAACTGAAAGAAAACCTTAAGATGCAACGTAAGCTTGTTGTGTATATTTCATTTCCCTATTAGTTAACGATGTTGTTTAACAACCGTGTATATGCGTTATCACGCAGCAGTACCGCGCTTCATGACATAAACGCGTCAATTCTATGCGTACCGCAAGCACTGTGATTGGTCTGCTAGAACCGCTCCCCGGGGTTTCACATGCTCCCTCTGCATGTGTAATTGCGCGCCAACGCGGACAACGACGCAAAAGTATAAATGAAAACCAACGCGTAGTCTATAACGTAGAGGCTCCGCCGTAGGTCTGACGCAGAAGTATAAATCAGCCTGTAGCTACGACGCAGAAGTATAAATCAGCCTGTAGCTACGACGCAGAAGTATAAATTAGGCTTAACAGATTATGTCATATCTAGCGGGATTCCATAAACTACACAGAACCCCACTATTCGCCGACGCAATGTTTAAAATCAGGCAAACTTTATACTTTATGGACAAATATACATAACGAAAAGATGATACAAAATGTAATACCTTGGAAAATGGCATAAGACTTTTTAATACTTTTAAAGGTCTTAATTTTCTCTAAATTGATTTACCAACTTTTAACCCTCTGGGGTTGGCGGTCGCGCCGGCGATACCAGCTCGCTTTTTTTCTTATCAGTGCAAAATAGACTCAAAATACTCTGTTGATTTTGATCTTACATATAAGTGTTATACATCATTCAAAACTGTTAAATGTCTTCTTTTATTTGTGTACACTCATAATAAAAACAAAATGTTGTGTTTTTCGTAAAATAAAGAAAATAAACATGATGCGCGTTCTGCCGTCTCTCTCAATGTGAAGTTCATTCTGAAACGCGACAGAAGATGATCTGTAACTCAACGAATGTTTGTCACACAGACTTGAAACGTATGTCTTTACAACGCTTGGAGTCTCTATTTTTAAATGATGTAAATTATATCAAAAACAAATATTCTATGTATAAGTTATCCGTATGAAAGCAGCGACATTTACAGTTTCTCAAACGCGTCCTAATTAAATCTAATGTGACCACACCCACGCGAGCAACAGCTGTTCATATGCAAATGAGCCACGCGGAGGAACGCGAAACTGTTAACGCCCTCTTCACCTCAAAACAAAGCATCGGAGACTTGTTCAGTAACTTACTCCCAGGGCCGGCCCGAGGCATAAGCGAACCAGGGGGCCCCCCAATCGAGTTAAATTTTTTTTAAAAAAATTTAAGATGACTTAAACAAGTGACATACATGAATGAATGAATATGACTGAATGAATAATTGAAGACAAGAAAATTCTGATTTCATGATCAATATACCTGCCTACAACTGCTGCTGTGTCTGCCAGCGTTTAAGTTATGCGCATAATCTAGACACCTCGCGCGTGCATAGACAATTCGTGCGCAACTGCGCATATAGTCACGGTATCGGTTTAAGTTGGAGAAAATAGCCGCAGGGGAACTTAACCTTCTAGGTGTAAGGGTAGCAGTTTGAATAAATAATAAACATAGCAGTTTGAACTCTTCTCGACTCCACTTTATTATACCACACATCAGATCACTAACTCCAAAAACCCGCGACCCTCCAGCACCAAGTGCACTGTGCGCACAACCCATTCCTTTCTACGGCAAGCCCCGAGGGGAAAAATACATTGCATACACACATACAACGAGCCCCAGTACATCATTACCGGTATTATAGTAACAGACTTTGTTGGATTCTGTCATGTACAATCCAACAAAGTCTGTTACAATAATAATAATAAAAAAGATTTTGAGGACAGTTACACTGTATTGAGACAGTTGAGAAATAATAATATTTTTACTGTTTTCTCAACAATAATTGTCATTGTTGAACCCTTGCTCGCCTATTATGTTTCTGATTTCTCAGTTTTGTCATTATTTTAGCAAATAATTCATGTAATAAATGTATAAATGTTTTGAGACAGTTTGTTTTAAGAAGTTTCAAAGAGTTAGTAAAAGAGTATGTAAAAGTTACAACTTTTTTATTTAAGTTGGCATCTATTTTTTATTAAGTATTTATTTTGTATTAATACATAACCTATTTTTATACATTTTATTGGATACAGCGTTCAAACAATATTTGCAACATGATACAATATAAGTCTCCATTTTATGAATGAACAATTTCAGAATAAACAATTCTTCAAAACAAGTCATTTTATGGTTCCCTTCCCTCCTGGATAGTTATGTGATAATTATTTATTAATTACCAATGAGTTCCCTGTTTTTTCACTTTAGAATACTGTTCCAGGTTCTAAGTAATTCCTGAAGAATTATCTAATAATTCATTATTAATTACTATTAAGTTCCCTATATTTTCACTTTATAATACTGTTTCAGGTTATAAGTAGCCTAATTCCTGGATAATTATTTGATAATTATTTATTAATTACTAATGGGTTCCCTGTATTTTCACTTTAGAATACTGTTCCAGGTTATAAATAATTCCTGAAGAATTATCTAATAATTCTTTATTAATTACTAATAAGTTCCCTATATTTTCAGTTCCCCTCAGTTGTTGCCTAAAATACATGAATTTACTCAATGGCATTCTATGCTGAGGAAAACAGACACACACAGTACTGTATATAAAATATAAAAACTAATCTGAGGTTAGTTTTGTATGACTGTTCATTAGTTACTTCTTAGTTATTTTTCTTGAACCTTAATTAATAGATAATTAATGGTAGTTCTTCAGGAGGTATGACAGAATTCATTAGTTATTGATTAACTAACTGTAACTTAACACAATCATAAAATTCTATTACATACTGATTAGTTAACACATCTTCCTCAGTAGTTAACAGTAGTGAAGAAGTAGTTAATGAAGAATTATTAGAATTATTTTTTGGGCACCAAACAAGAACATTCTATGAACGTTCCCTCTAGGTTATTTTAGGTTCTATTTTTATAACCTAAAGGGAAGTTCCCATAAAGTTTACAGAACGTTCTATTAACGTTAAGAAAACTTTCCTGGATCACTATACCATCATAACATTTGCAATCTCTGCATGATGAAATGCATATGATACTGTATTATGACCTATATTTGCACAGCTTTGATTTCCTGTAGCCTCAACTTAATATGACTGATAATATAATTGCCTAAATGGCCTTATAAATTCTTTTAAATTATTTACATGCATCACAAACTTATAAAATGGATCTGATTTGCTCATGGCAAACAATAATCCTCCAGATTGTAACATTCTACATTATATTACCAGTCATAGTGTCCATGGTTGTAGTTTCAGTTGTAGTTTCATCTGTCGTTGTCTCTGGCATGACAGTAGTAGTAGTAGTGTTTATGTTGCTTGAATCTGAAATGAATTATAAATATTAGATTAAAATAAATAATAATTATCTCTTACATAAACGAAGGGCACATGTAAACATATTTACCTGCACAGTAAGCCAAATGGCAGTTAGTTGGGCTGACAAACTCATAGACATAATAATCTCCTGGACAGGCTTTGACTTTAATGGGATTGGATTGGAAATAGCAGCAGTTATTGCCCCAGTGACCGCAGACATCTCGAGTGACCACTCCATCCTCAACTGTTGGATGTCCTCCGCTCAGCCACAGAGGAGCATGAGTGCCACAACTATACTCATCAACACATGTGTCTGGCATCTGAACGCTCTGACCCTGAATGAAGAGTCGGTACCAGCCGTTCCAGCTGACCGCAGTGTCACACATTATTTCAGAGGAATGTTGATTGTTGGTGGCTCTCCATGAATCATCCAGGATATTGTAGTTGTAGCAGGGGTCAACAGGGGGAGCTGTTGTCAAGGAAATATTACAAATATAGATTTTACAGAATGAATAAATTAATTATATTTTGTAGTGGTTATGTTATGAAACAGTTTACACTGTTTACTTAAGCTCACTTTTTCATTTGCATTATAAGTTGAAGCTGAAAACAATTTGTCGAGCTTTCAGAACATCTCTTATCTAGCTGACAAAACGAGGTAAAAACAGCCACATTTGAGTCCCTTTGCAATTGATCATGAGTATTACAAGCAAACTGACTTCAAGAAGTCAGTGCTTTCAGAACACTCTTTGCCACTTATTTGTAAAAACATTATTCTCATGTGGTGGTATTCTGCACAGACTGATGATTGAAAATGAGAATTTTGTTTGTTCTTTCAACTTTAAAACGTCTTTATTTTAGAACTGACACTGCCCCCATTAAAAACGTTATTTTTTTGTTGTTGTTTTTTACTAATCTGCAAAAATATCTTGTTCCTAGATCTCTGCTTTTGATTTAATTGCATGGCTTATTACACTTGCATGTATTATTTGTTAATTACATAATTTTACATGTTTTCCATGTATTTCTTAAACTGGGATCTGTCTAAAATACATTATATGTATGTACATAAGAATCAGAGTGAACGTTGATCTAGTTTTTTTTTTTTTTTTTAAATCGATTGACAGCACTATATAGTGTTGTATTTTGTTGTATACTTAGTTCCCACAGGCCAATTAATGTCACGTGACCTCCCCGGAGACGCCATCTTTGAGGGCATAAGCTGCTGTGTTTACAAAGTTTTACCAGAGAATGTCGTTTTACAAACAAATATTTATTTATGTTTATAATGTTACGCAAATCTTGAAGAGACGAAGTGAAATAGATTATAAAGAGAGTCTATTAAAACAAGACAGAGAGAGGTACAATGCGAAAATATGCAGTAACGAAGGAAGCACTGACTGATTATGCAGCTTTGCCTCAGATACAGTATTTTCTTGTGTACCTTTATCTGGTATTGGCTAGGAGTTTTTACACATGTGAGCAATTCCGAGCCTGGAAATCACTGGAGGTGTACAATCAGATTGCTGAGGGTTGGGGACGTTTGCTCAAGTGCAATCAATGGAAAAGTAACTTAGTCTTCATAGCGAAGGTAGAGCATGATGCTAAACTATCTGTCTATTAAAAAGCCATAGCCTGCACAACTTAATTCCTATGTTCCCCTTAAAACAGTCACCGGTGCTTTCTGTATATGCATGTACTTATTTGTACACTGAAGAATAGGGGTGGAACGGTAGGCTACATGTATTCGTATTGAACCGAACCAGTGCGGGCGTCATGGTTCGGTGCATGAATATAAAAATAAACAACTCGCGTGCAAATTAATTAATGTAATGCGGAACTACTTTATACGCGGGTTCTTTAGGGACATAATCTGAGATTGCAATGCTGGAATGTGTGTGTGTGTGTGTGTGTGTGTATGTGTGTGTGTGTGTGTGTGTGTGTGAGAGAGAGTGAGTGAGTGAGAGAGAGAGGGAGTCGCGGGCGCGATCGAACAGTGGAAACAATGTTGTTTTGTATGTTTTTAATAGCTTGTCATTTTGTTCATACAGGACATTATTCAAACTGCTAAGATTTAACTTATATTTGTGTACACTCGCAATAAAACACAACCTTGTGCTTTTGTCAAACAAATTTTTGCGTCTTTTGAGTGAGTTTCTTTCCTGTTTATCCTCGCCAGCCATAACCTCCGTCGTTGTTCTGACAAAAGCGTACACTCTAAAAAATGCTGGGTTGTTTTAACCCAACTTTGGGTCAAATATGGACAAACCCCAAAAAATGATGGGTTGTTTTAACCCAATTTTGGGTCAAATATGGACAAACCCAAACGTTGGGTTAAAAATTTAATTTAAAAATTTAACCCAACGGCTGGATTTGTCCATATTTGACCCAAAGTTGGGTTAAAACAACCCAGCATTTTTTAGAGTGTAGTCTTCTCACATGCATGGAGTCTAATGACGGGTACACTGTAAAATCCTAATTTAACTGAATCTCCGGCACGATTTGAACATCCATTGACAGCAGGAGATGACCATTCACTTTTTAACACGAAACTCATTTCACTTCGTTTAACTCGTATTGCTTCTTCTAATGTTCTGCCCACAGCAATGGCACTGGGTCGGCAAATGCCGTATGTTGTGACGTCATGTGGGAACTATATAGTAGGCTTAAAAAATAACTTTTAATTTAAGTGAACTTCCCTCACATAAACCAATAACAAATGTAATATTTACCTTTCTACCCGTCTAACAGATAGGACATTTACAGAAAGTGAATAAAGTTATCAAACAGTCTGAACTGCATAAATGATCAATTAAATATAGACTAATACTTATTAAAGCTACAAAAGTTCTTTAGTCAAGAGCAGTGAGTAATGAACTGTGTTCTTTGATTAACTTTAATGACAGACAGAATTAGTGCCGTTGTCACTTTAAGATCTGCCACTGCTGACAGAGGGATCTCACACGTGTCTCGTTCTCTCACAACTCTTTACGTTCATTTAAGACTTTTCTATCACATTATAGGGGGCTTTCACACTGGCAGTTTAGTTCGGAACGGGGCACGGTTCGCATAAAAAAAAATCGCTAATGTGAACGCTGTCATGGGACCCGGTTGCGCACTGCCGGGGTACCGAACCCGTCAACCCGAGACTACCTGGAGGAGGAGGTCTGAGTTCGGTTGCTCCCTAACCATGCTACGCTTCGCGTGAATTTGAAAGCAGCACGGACTCGGGTGCGCACTTGTTCAGGAAGTAAAGTGACCTGCGCATGCGTTTTAGCTTATTGTGATGTATTCAGTTAAGATCTATTTCCATCTTTCTTTTTTCTTTCTATCTTTCTTTTTCTTTCTATCTATAGTTTTTTCTTTCTATCTATATTTCTTTTTCTTTCATTCTTTCTTTCTTGTTCTTTATTTTTTCTTTCTTTCTATCTATCTTTGTTATGTGGATGGCGGATGAACCCAAGCGCAGACAGCAAATGACTTTCACAGGATTTATTAAAGGACAAAAACAGAAAACAAAAGCCGATGGGCAAAACAAGACAGGGCAAGGCAAATACTCAGACAGTAAACTAACAACTACGACAGGAACAGAACTTCTTGATGACAAGACTCTCAACAGATTACTCACGGCAAGACTCACACAACGTATGACGATGTCAAACAATGAACCGACCCAGGACAGCAAACACAAGGGGATTATAAAGGGAACACTAATGACAAAGACAGGTGAAACGGACTAGACAATAATGACGAGACGAGGATAACAAGGGGGCGGGGTAACGTAACGAGACAACACAAGCACATGGTCCAAACAATTGGCCATGCGCTTGTACACAAAACATGATTCTGTCATGATCCTGCCTCACGACCAGGGAAAATCAAGAACACTAAGGCAGAATCATGACAGAACCCCCACCTTAAGGAGCGGCTACCAGACGCTCCTCAAGGGGACATTAAACACGGGACATGACAGACTGTGACAAAGACACGAACCAACAAAACATGGAAAGCATTAATAATGGCAAACATGAAAAAACAATAACAGGGCTGGGGTGAAACATCAAATACAACATACAAGGCAAAGGAGGTGGAGGAAACACAGAGTTCATGGGGGGAGGTCCAGGGTGGATGGGAGGACTGGGGGTCTTGGGTCCACGGGATAAGGGGTGAGGACGAGGACTCTGGGCAGGCTTAGACGGAGACACACGAGGAGAGGTCTTGGGGGAAACAGTCCGGGGCTTAGTGGAGACAGGGAAAACAGTCCGGGGACTAGTGGTGACAGGGACAAACGGGGAAACAGTCCGGGGACTAGTGGTGACAGGAACAAACGGGGAAACAGTCTGGGGACTAGTGGCAACAGCAACAAACGGGGAAACAGTCCGGGGGCTGGTGGAGACAGGGACGAACGGGAAAACAGTCTGGGATACTGCTTCATTGGTGGCAGCAACAGATTCAGACACGGAGGACACAGAGGATGAGGAAACGGGACTCCTGACGGGGGACATAGCAGGCGAAGGGGCAGGACTGGGTGCAGCGCTCTCCGTGGCAGGCTTGGGTGCAACGCTTCCAGTGACAGGCTTGGGTGCAGCGCTCACAGACACAGTGGGCTCGGGACAAGACATGACAGGAACATCGAGGATCTTGACAAGCTTGGCAAGGTAATCTGCTAGAGTCTCGGCAGCAGCAACGATAGGCATCCTCTTACGAGCAGACACCGCTTGCAGGACTGCTTCTGCAGCTTGATCAGCCACACCTCTCACAGAGGCAGATTCTGTAACCGGGCAACCAGCTACTGACTCAGGAACAGCGCTTGCAGTAGCGGGTTCCGGGACGGCGCTTGTTGGAGCGGGCTCTGGGACGGCGCTTGCTGGAGCGGGCTCTGGGACGGCGGTCACGGCTGCAGATTCAGGAACAGCGCTTACAGAAGCAGCTTCAGGAACTGCGCCTTCAGCTGCAGACTCTGGGACAGCGCTTACTGTTGCAACCTCAGGAACAGCGGTCGCGGCTGCAGATTCAGGAACAGCACTTAATGCAGCAGACCTGCATTCTGAGCTCTCAGTTGCAGCAGCGGGCTCTGGGACAGCGCTTGCAGTAGCGGGCTCTGGAACAGCGCTTGACGAAGGATGGGAGGCTCCCCTCTTCCTCCTCTTTCTCCTAGGTCGGGAAGCAATGGTTACAGCAGGACTCGTGATCGGCTGGATGGGCTCAGCGGAAGACAAAACAGGACCTGGGAAGACCACTTCTGGTAGGGTGAGCTCAGATGACGGTGACTCCGAGGGGGAATCCCAAGAAACCCGTCTCCCTCATTATCCAGAAATTTCTGGCTGGATGAAGGACCACCACCTTCAACTAAACCTTGCGAAGACAGAGCTACTTGTGGTCCCGGCCAACCCAACACTTCATCACAACTTCTCCATTCAGCTAGGCTCGTCATCCATAACTCCATCAAGGTCAGCTAGGAACCTTGGG